TCTCCATCATCAGCGCTCTGACTCCCAAGGGCCTGGGTCAAGTCCAGAGTTTTCTTCAGGCCCTTCAAACATCCTGCCTTCCACGTGTCACCAGGTGTTACTGCCATCTTCCTGGACATACTTGGGGACGCTTCCTCAGGCACTGTGCTTCCCCACCTTGGGGGCTTTGCTCATGCACCTTTCTCTTTGTAGGTGAATTCCTCCCAGTGTTCACCCGTTGAATTTGTAGCCGTGTTTCAAAGCCCAGCTCAGATCCCTATTCCTGTGTGAAGCCTTTTGTGATTTCCCAAACCGACTGTGACTTTACCGTTCTCGAACTGTCCCTCCCTCGCATCATCTCCCATACTTGTATTCTGTTTTGGTGGTTTGCAGTCTTTGCTGAACGTCCTAGTTTGTAAATTCTGGAAGGGCAGGACTGGGTCTCATCCAGCTTTGTCACCTTGCACGTGGTTGGTGCCCAGATGTAACTTTCGGATGGATTGAGTGGCCTAAGTCAGCTACCACTCAGATTTTTCTTCCCGAAAGTACACGTTCAGCAACTTGACACTCTTCATAGTTTTTTCCCTGTAAGTGCCTAACACTGGACATTTAAAAATTTCGACTGACTGCCATTGTGTCCCTCACCTTGGGCTTTTGACACAGGTCTTTCCGGGCCGGGGTTGTGCATTTGTGTCTTGGCAGCTTGAGAGCGATGGCTGTGAATAATGAGTCAATTATCATCCGGCCTCAGGGAGAGCACAATTATTCCCGACTGGCCAGGCTGAGGTAATCCTCTCTCCTCTGCTCTTTCAACGAACAACATAAAACAGTTGGAATTCAGAGCATTGCAAAGGGAATTTAGACAAAACATTTGTCTGCTGAATTTAGCGTCTTTGGATTTATTCTGATTTATGATTGATTGGTTTTTAAATTGCTTATTTAATCCTCACGACTGTCTCTCCGGGGGAGGCCAGATACCAAGTAGCAGGTGATCAAGAAGCAGTCAAGCAAAGTAGTTCGGCTGGACCCATCCAGCGCACATATTATTGTCCAGAGAAACATTGCCCTAGGCTAGGAGCATAATGTGAAAATCACCCCATGACTTTCAAAGTACCCAACCTTGTTACAAGCATGATTGCTTATCCCCTCTGCTCTTTGCGGAAGGCTTTCTGCCGCTGCCCAGCATTGCACAGAATTTCCCCCACGCATTCTCCCTTCCTTCCAGCAATGTATTCGGTATCTCTTGGCGACAGAGAACATGCTCTTGATTTATATTGCTATTGACCACGGTGCCAAAGAACAGAGCCTCAGAGGATGCTGACAGGATTGGGTCGTGAATTCTGATGGCGGCGGTGGTGACCTGTGAACACCCTCCTGCGAGTGGGGCGATGCTTCTCAGCACATGGACCCCAGTTTGGCTTTTGTGTGGGCGAGCTTGCGTTTTTAAAGGGTTTCCTGCAAAATAGACTCTCGCGTGGAAGCTGCGTAATCAATGTATGATTAGTATCTCATTTGTCAAGACATCAGGAATCTCACCCTTTGCAAGGAGCGCAACCTTTTCCTTTGGCCTGAAATAAGACATCGCTGGTGGTCCAGCAAGGGGGACCTGCTGTAAGCTTGTCTGCTTGGTATCGAAAACGAAACATTGTAATTCCATTGCTTCAGATGCATGAAACCTTTAAAAATCCTTCAGAAGAAGAAGAAAAAAAAACCCTTTTGTTTCTTCTTTATTGAAGTGTTGACTCAGAAATGCCCAAAGAAATGCTCTTTCAGGTCTCAACAACCTACTTGTTCCCTGAAATATTGCCGTTAGATTTTTATAATGTATTATGCCTGACACGTATTTCAGTGCAAGAAGCATGAGGGATACATTGAAAGAGTGGAAAAGGATTGCTGAGAAACGAACAGAAGAAGAGACGAACACGTGGGTGGCACGCTTGGACTGTCACCAGGACACGGGGGCGGCTCTGGGAGGCAGCAGCTGGCTCTCACCAGGCTTTTCAAACCTTTGGATCATTTTGACGTTATCATATGGAAAAAGAACTTCTTTCCTATCTCGATCTGCCAAGAGATAAATTATTTGTTGTTTTTTAAAATGAAAAGGGTAGCTTTAGGGGAAGCACTCTGGGTCTTTGGAGCTATACCGATTCCGTATGTGTTCATGGGAGGTTTAGGGAGGGGCCCTACATATCAGGTTCAGTCTGAGAGAGAACATGTTCTTTCCTGAATCTTCTGGTTGTTGACCTATGAACAAACCTGTAGTGAAGTTTTATAAGCACTTATTTGAGCCAAACTGATGATAATTGCTGGGAAACAAGATCTCAGATGCTCAGGAGAAGGGGAGAAATACAGTTTGCAGTTCCTTTTACACATTTGGAACTGAGGGGACTTAAGGAAGATGACAAGAAGGTGGGAAAAAACACAGCGGGGATGGTCATGGGACAGATAAGATTATGTGCTCTCTCTCTCTCTCTTTTTAAAAAATTCTTACCTGAGGATATTTTTCCATTTATCTTCAGATATATTGGGGTGCGGGGGAGGAGACAGAGAGACAGATAGTGACCTGAGAAGAACACATTGATCGGTTGCCTCCCACACAACCCCAACCAGGCCTGGGACCGAACTGCAACTGAGGTACATGCCCTTGACCAGAATCGAACCCGCGACTCTTTGGTCTGCGGGCTGACACTCTAACCACTGAGCCAAACCGGCCAGGGTGATTTTTGTGCTCTCTTGAAGGTGGTTATACTTTCGAGGGGTATTCCTTCTGATATTTCAAAGGTGTATTAACCTAGATGCACAAGAACTGTGGACAGGGCTGGCTTAGACACCTTTCACTAAAGAAGTTGTCGGCCTGGGCGTGACTGCCCACCATGATCTGCCCAGTTAGGAACTTACAGTTTATCACAGCAACCCTTTTTTGCCCACATGATATTTAAAAAAATGAAAGCTTTATGTTTCCAAAAGGCAGAAACTTGAAAGGCGTGAACAAAAAATTGTGTTCGATCCGAGTACCCAGCAATAGTTCAACATCAGCATCAGAAGCGGGGACTTCATTATATTTTGCTCTTTCTTTCGAAGAGTGTCACCTGGTTATCTGTCAAATAGCCTGGTTATCTTATTGGAGATGGCACAGGAGTACCTTGTGTGATTTGAGTACAAACAGAACTTGTCCTTATGGAACATCTGTTTGACTCAACGCTTTTCAAGTATTTAAGTCAAACAGTCACGTTGTGCTGGGTACATAGTATTTTCTTAGTCGAGACTTAAAGGTAAGCAGGGAGGACTGAGGGAATCCCACCTCATTAGAGCAGCGCACTGAACAATGGCAGCTGGCCACAGGAAGCCTGGCTTCTAACTTGGATGAGTTTAGGAACCCTTTCGTTTCTCAGATAACCTCTGTTCCCAAGCGTTTTCAGACTTGTCTTGCTCCACCCTGCTAATGCTGCCTATCTTTGCCTGGGACTGATGTAGGACATCTTTGTGGCTGCAAAGAGGAAGACTTCAGGGAGGATAAGTCTCCTTCACTTACCTGATCTTTCACAGTGCTGGTCACTGCAGCAATATTCTTCGCAAGCCCCCCATCACCCGACTCACTCAGCGCCCCCAGCCCCTGCGCCCCAGCAGCCAAGGCTACTGCCTCACATCAGAGTTGCTAAGGGTTTGTTGAGGCCAGAGACAGGGGTCACTTGTTCCAGGAGTAGCTAGTTAGGAGTCACAGGTGCTGGTGCAGGAGGAAGAAGAGAGAGAGCTGGCCCGAGCTTGTGTTATTTACTAACATAACCCTGTTAAAGAGAAGGTGATACATTCAGCGTTTATGTTTTCCCTATCTGGCTTATTGAGTTAATCATTATAGACTAGGTTATCTTACCTCTGCTCCCCAACAGTATTTCAGTGTTAATGTCCTTTAGACATCCCCACAAGTTTCAATTCTACCAGTGATGGGCATTCAGAAGCAGACAAAGGCTTCTGGCTGGGGGTGCACCAGCAATGATCATTAGAGCAGCAGGCATCTCACCGATTTTGATGCCATGTGACTAACAATCCAACAGCAAACACGGTCACCTTTTTGGGTTAGGCTGTCTCATAACCCCTTCAGCAAGATGCCTGCCTAAGGAGCGCACAGGTTGAACAGCCCCTGTGTCTCTGGAGCCTTTTCCTAAAGGGACGATACAGTGTTCCCCAGCCTCACAATACCTTGGTCCTGCCCCTCGGCCCCTTTGAGTCCTGTGTCACTCGTGTAGTGACCCCCGACATAGATTTCTGTGTCTGCTGCGGTCAGTAGCAGCAAACACATTCTAGTTCGGGAATGGGTCACGTGCTTTGGTTCTTTCTGTACTATTGTAGACTTTTCTTCATCTCCTTTTTGGATTTTTCCTGTCATCATGTCCTTTTCCTATTTTCTAATGACCCTTGCCCTTCATTTGCAGCTTGAGTCTAGGTGGCACAGCACAGTGGTTAGGAGCGTGGATCGCAGTCAGAGGCCTGGGTTCAAATCCCCCACTGCGGTTTACCAGCTGCCTTACCTCGAACAAAATGCACGGATAAGATACGCGGAAACTAGCCCCTGAAAACATTTTGTTGCAGCTTTTCTTTCTTATCAGGATTATGAGTAATTTTCAAGTTTTAATGTTTTCTCTTACAAATTTTCTAAAAGCATCCATATATTGCTTCCATATAAGTAAAAATCCCTCTCAAATTTAGGAAAAAAAAAGAGACAGGTAGTGCCAAAGAGTCTTGCAAACACTATACTTTACCAACCTTTTCACAATGGCTGAGAACAATGTTGGGTACATAGTAAGCACTTAATATATATTTTTGTGCAGTAAATGAAATAGTGTTCTTCTTCTTACATTTTTAGAAATAACTTTGTAAAGTTAGGAGTGCTTAATGCCTCAAGCACCCAGGTTATCGATTTCTTTGAAAACGATTTTTTGTTTGCTTGGAAGAGTCTCAACAGGAAATGAACCAGCCTGGGTGTGGGGGATGTTTTCCAGTGATGATGTAATTTATCATTTCAGAGGATAATGTGACCAAAAGAGGTGTGTTTGGAACCAATTCCTCAGAAAACAGAATTTCTTTGATACCGTGTACTCATGAAAATGGACCACGTGCTCACCACCCCGGGAGGAGAGCCGTCATCCCTCGTGCTTCACCCCCGTGTCCGGAAGCGGAGCCGGTAAGGCCCTGGCACCCTTCGAAACAGTCTGAGAAAAGAGCACTCTCTGTGAATGAGGAAAAGGTGTCTGTAAGAAGATGAGAGACTCTGGAGAGGGATTGCATCAATACTCAGACTCCAAATTCTAGAAGGAGGACCACTGGGATACTTGATTGAAAATCATCATTATGTTTTATGTTTTCACAGCCAATGTTTAGGATGGTAACTTGGTTATCCCTAATTTTTGTTAAAAACCCCTTAAAGCCCTGCAATGTAGCTCAGTTGGAGCATCATCCCGTACACTGAAAGTTGTGTGTTTGATCCCCGGTTGGGGCTTGTATGGGAGACAACCGATTGATGTCTCTGTCTCTCACATAGATGTTTCTCTCTCTCTCTCCTTTCCCCTCTCTCTAAAATCAGTAAACATATCCCCAGGTGAGGAATAAAAAAACAAAACAAAAACACCTCTTAAGAAGCTGCCATCTACAAAACCTTCTTGAAATACATTTTAACGTGTCCTCTATGTAGAACAAAAGAATTCCTTTTTAAATTCTCTGTGTAAAATGGGAGCTTCTTTTACCTGTTCTGGACTTATCTCTTTTGAACTTAAAGTAGAAGTTGTTATCTTGTTTTTCTTTCCAGGATTTGGTCAATAAATATTATATGCTTTCTCCCTAATCTTCAGGACTTCATAGTTGTATTCTTCTTAGCTTTGTGTTTTTTGTTTTTTGTTTTTTTTATCCTCACCTGAGGACATTTTTTCTTTTTCTTTTTTTTTGTTCAGATAGAGTGGGAGGGAGAGAGAGGAAGAGAGAGAGAGAAACATTGATGTGAAAGGGACACATCGAGTGGCTGCCACCCGCACAATCCAACCAGGGCCGGGGACAAACTGCAACCGAGGTACCTGCCCCTAGTGGGAACCGAACCCAGGTCTCTCTGGACCACAGGCCGACGCTCTAACCGCTGAGCCAAATCAGCAGGGCTTAGCTTTGGTTTTTAACTATTGAGGAATCTAAGTGGAAGTTATTCTACTTTTTATTATTATTTATTTAAAACAAAATTCTCATTTTATTTAGGTTGAAATAAATTACACAAAATTGATTTTCTTCATTAAAAATAACAGCAGCATTTTCTGTATTTGTCCTAGATAAACCACAAAACACATTTTTGTAGGTTTTCAGGTTTTGGTTATAAATTAAGACAAGGCAGTAGATAGTCACGGAAAATGTTCTACTTTTTAAATCACTTGAGTTTCTGGTTTCTGCTTCATCATGTCTTCCCTGTGATACTGTGGATAGAATTGTATTTGGGATTGTAGTTTTATACCAGGGAACAAACATTTCTGCTTTAGAAAATTAGAGAGATGATTGTGGGACAAACACCTTCCCCCCCTGGTGAATTCACTGTCTGCTGGCAATCCTCAGCAAATGGAACTCTATACCTCTCGAGTCTTTGACCAGCATGCGAGAGGCAAAGGATTGTTCGATGGCATTGTTTTCTAATAACTTGAAAAAGTTGTATTAGCATTTTTGGGTTTGTCCTTCCAGGGTTCATTGAGAAGGGCTGGTTCATTCATCATGAATAGCTAATTCACAAAAACCGGACGGAGAGTTTTATTGTCTGGCCTATAAGTCAGCTCCTTTATTTTCACTTGTTTCATTTTCCCACCGACATGTGCTCACTGTATTATTTCTCAGGTAGTGCTGCATGAAGGCCAAAACGTTGGCAGCTCCTTCCACGGTGATCTGAATCGGGCAGGAAAGGTGAAGGTAAGGCATGATTTAATTTTTTTCCAGGGTAAAAAAAAACAAAAAAAAACCCAAACGATAAAAGCACAAAAATCCCCACAGGACTCATTTGCTGTCTCATACAAATTGGAGAGTTCAACAGATTTTGTCAGCATACTTTTTTTTTTTTTTTAATCACCGTTTGAGTATGTTTCATGGTTGGCTGGGTTCCAGATCTTTTATTTCCTCAAAGCTTCATACATGGAAGGGGTGCTTTGATAGAGAAGCACGCCTCTAGTCCCCCTTAGCGCGTACCAGTAAGAGACATGACAATGTAACAGATTCTCACATTTTAGTACTGAAACTGGCATATGGAAGATACATTTTTCTGTCACTGGGTGCCAGGAAATAACTGCCGCTATGTACTTATAAGCACTGGAAGCTTCCATTTTTAATTCCCATGTGAGAGCCTTGGTCTGGCACATATTCTTGCTGAGAGAAGAAAGACCAAGACGGTCTTTTGAATCCCAATGATGGGATCTAAATTTGCAATTTGAAGGTATTTTGTTATGCACATAGTTTAGGTCATAAGCACAAAAGGCTCTTTGACATTATGCCTTTACTCTACCAGGTCTCCTAGGAGCCAGTGGTGAAATCATTTTCTTATTTACACTCTTTGATAGTCACTGGAGATGAATTAGTTCGGTGTCTGAAATGTTACCATTTTGTTAATCTAAAATGTCTCATTGTCAGCTTGCAGTGGAAAGCAGTTATTCTATGTGGAATAGTTTTTCATTGAAATGTTGCTATTGTGTCTGTAAAGGTCATTTGCTCTGCTTTTTACCTTTGAAGTAATTTTTAGTTTTGTTTGTTCCAAAGCGAGAACACTTGATTTTTTTTGCCCTGCTCACCTCTCTTGTGATTTTCCTGGGGCAGGATGATTTTTTTTTTTTTTCGAATGAAGCTTTCTCTCCTGCTTCCTTTAGTTTTTTTCTCCCTGGCTCTTCGGAGTGAAAAGCATGCTGTTATGACAATAGCCAGACCCACCACCATCATTTGCTTGAGAAGCAAAAGCAATACGATGACAATAGCAACAACAACAACAGATAGAGACACTGTTGTGGACTGTCTTGGTGGTGGAATATATTCTGGGATAGAATCTGGAACAAAGTTCCTTTTCAAAAACTCTCCAGATGGTTTTTTCCCTTTCAGTATAAAGATCTTACTATGGTGCCTACAAAATCCAGGCCAACTTCCAAATTGATTGCTTCTTTCCCACATCTCTGGGAGAGCGTTGTGAACACAGAGACCTTTAGCTGGGACTCCAAAGTTAATGAGAAAATTGGATTCAGTTGCTCACTTGAGTGTTGTGGAAGTGGATTCATTGATTCTTAATTGCATTTTTTAAAGTCTAATGTGCATAAAAATAATGTTAATCCTTTTCTAGGTCGATAATTTCCTAGAAGTAGAAGACTTGGACATGGATGAAGAGATTAAGCCCCAAATGAACAAGGGTATGCCTTCTGTTTCCTTCCATCACTGCTGAACCTCTTTCTAGAAGCTACAAATAGGACTTGAGGCAGCTTTTCTTTTTTCCGGCGGTCCCAGCCCCATCTTCCCTGAGACGGGGAAAGCTGGAGTTCTGCAATTCTTTTTTCAAAAATAGAGATTTCAGCGGGAAGGTCAAAGCCTGTTGAAGGTCGTAAGTGAGGTCTTGCACCTTCTCCCCTCCCCCCACGCTGATTTACCATAGGATTGATTTTTGGATCATTGTCTCAAATAAAGTCATTGAAGTCATACCCAATTTCTTAGAAGCACCATGTTGTAAATTGAGGTTATTTTGGAATGATACATAAGACATCAATTGATAATAAAAAATCATAGAAATATCAGAATTGATCATAAACAAAATAAAATCCAAATCTTTGCTTTTATAAATATTTATTAAATATATAAACCCAACATTTAAGACTTATGATATATTGTAAATGTTTCTTCTGGGGGCATTCCCCCCCATGGGCTGGGCAGAGAGTCTTAATGCGAGTTCATTGATGTCTGTGTAGAGGAGGACTCTTTCCTTGTCTGGTACACGTTTCTTTGTAACATAGTATCTTTTTTGCTCAAAGGATCTTTGAAATATGTTCACAATGAGAGTTATTTGCTTTGAAAAATCTCATTCCTAATTTAATATGGAAGACTATTTCCAAGTCAATGTTAGATGTTAGGAAAGGGGCATTTTCCATGGGGTTTTGGTGGTGGGCATTTAAGTGTTGCTTAGTGTTTAGGTAGTCACAAACATGAATTACAGTCATTTAAAAATTTTTTTTTCTTTATCGATTTGAAAGAGATGAAGAGAGAGGGAGGGAGAGAGAGATAGAAACATCGATGAGAAAGAACATCAATTGGCCTCCTCCTGCATGTCCCCCACTGGGGATTTGGCCCACAACCTGGGCATGTGCCCTGACTGGGATTCGAACTGGCGACCTCTTGGTGCATGGGTCGATGCTCAACCACTGAGCCACACCGGCCAGGCTATAGTCATTTTTTTATTGGATGGGGACTTCTTTACAACCAGGCAGGAGTTAGAGTGACTGAGTGTAGTTGGGTTGGGGATGGTGACTCTCTGTAAACCCTACTCTGGCTTCTCTGGGGCTCGGGTAATTGGAAGCAACTGACCTTAATATTTTGCTTCCAAACATGACGCTATTCTATTGAAGGGTTTGTTTTTCAAGCACCCTGTTAACTAGCAGACTTACTTGGTTCAAGTGAGATAAGAGACCTAAAGGAATCACATAGTCCAAGGAGAAGTTCTTTTAACTTTTTAAAAAAATATATTTTTATTGATTTTTTGAGAGAGAGGAAGGGAGAGGGAGAAAGAGATAGAAACGTCCATGTGAAAGAGAACCATCAATCAACTCCTCCTGCACTCCCCCTACATGGGATCGAACCTGCAACCCCTGACTGGGAATCCAACCTGTGACCTCTCTGTGCATGGGTCTACGCTCACCCACTGAGCCACACTGGCTGGGCAGGTTCTCTTAACTTTAATACCCTGGGTTGCTCCGAATTTCTTTGTAAGAGCAACGTAGGGGCTCCCATTGGATTAGAAAGGGTAGCTAAGGACTTATCAAGAGCCGAGTTTATAGAGCAAGCACACTGTTTCAGGGTATTGGGTGACTGGGGAGGGGAGGCTGGTTAAAAATGAACGTTCCTGGGTCTTGTGCCCAAGGGAGAGTCTAATTCAGAAGGTCTTTGGTGGCATCCAGTAATCTGTGTTTTTAGCCACCACCCCGGGGATTCTGACAGTGTTCACCCGTGGATGACACTTGGAGACAAAGACTTTGCATGTAGTACATTTGCGATATACAATTAATTTTATGGGAGGGCAAAAAATACACGGGTTGAGCATTTTTGGCGACGGTTGAAATTTCTTGCTTCCTGCCAGTAATGAGAAGATCTACATACTGACATAAACCTGCTTAGCCAACCAAAGTGATTTTGGTTTATAGCCATTATCTTAAATGAGCTCTTTTACCTTTTTCATTATTTTCACATTGTTTTTCCTTAAACATTTTTTCAAGTTATGTTTTAATGTTTTGTTTTGTTTTTTTTTTTAAATCAGATCTATTTCTTTAGTTTAAAATATTGCATAAAAAAGCCTCTCTGGTATGATTTTTCCAGAAATCAGATAACAGGCAGTCTTGCATTTTTATACAGAGGTTACTGAGGCCTGAACCAAGTCTCAGTGGACTTGGATGAGCTAGTCAAGACCTTTCCATATGTAAAATAATGTGAAAAGCACAGGCTGGAAAGCAACCCGGCTTCATCGATCTATTCCAATTACCAAAAAGACCACCAGGGCTTCATACTTTTCATCATGGGTCACTTAAAAGGAAAAAATAAAACTAAATAGTCTGTGCCAGGGTGAATTTTAGTTTGGGCCTAATTTGTATTACACTTGAGGAATATGAGCAGAAGGCAAATATTTATGTCAGACGGGAAATGTGACATTTTAAATAGGCAAGTTGCTTGTATAATTTTGGCAGCTGAGAGGTTTACTGATTAGATTCTGTTGTTATTGTTTAAGCAACAGCTTTGCCTAGGGCAATAAGGAAGTGGGTTGAGCATTGTTTTCCTACCGTTGACTTCATTTGCTCACCTTATTTGCTTTCATAAATATTCTTCAAGATTCAGGCGCATGATTCTCTCCCCGTATTTGGCTTATCATTTTGGCAGCTCAGATGGACCCGGTTTTTCAGAGGCGCCCACTCAGTGCAGTGGTGTTGAGCTGTTGTAGTTGCCACAAAGTGGGGGCCCTGCGTTTCTTTGAAATCAGGTTAATCACTTTTTCTTCCTTTGAATCTGAGATAAGGTAATTAGCCATCAGGGTAATTGCCATCATACCCCTGAATGCTATCCGGTAGAATTATTATTTGGACTAGGTATGCTGAGGCCATTCGAGTAGAAGAATCTTCTGGCCATCTTTGTTTATTTGTGTTTCCCCTCAGTTGGCGCAGCCTGTTCTCTGGCTGAGTGCAGTTGGCTGAAGAGACTTACTGAGGTCTAGTTCTCAGAATTATACCCTCTTGCACAACTTAGTCAGTAGGCGTACCTATTCTGTGGTTGATTGTGTTGGATGAGAATGGGCAAATAATTCCTGCTCAAAGACTGGCAGTCTTATCTGTTTCCACTTTCCAGCTCTCTAGTACTGCCAATTTAATGAAGGCATCAGTCATCTCTTTCTTGTTTTAAAACAGTTCTTTCCTTATCTGTAACTTTAAGCAGCTTGTCAATGACCTGGGACTCTTACTGAACAAATATTTAACCTGTGATTGGTGCCTGGAACACAATGAAGAATAAAACAGATCTGGTTCCTGTTCTGATGAAGTTCATAGTTCATTGGAAGAATCAAATGTTAACCAGATAATCACAAATATATGAGTGCAGATCATTCTAGATCTCACGAGAACGTACGTCGTATGGCAGGGGAACTTAAATTTGTCTGTGGGATCAGAGAAAACTCCGTGAGAGCTGGAGATCCACAGGATGAGTAGTAACCTTCCACCAGCTGAGGGGGGCGGAGTGAGGCTGAGGGATGGGGGGGAGAATAAGAACAGCATGTGCAAAGGCCCGAGCTAGGAGACAGCATACTTCAGTCAACTTATAGTTTAGGCATTTCATTTATTTCACACTTAGTACTGTTAAAATCATTCTTTCATTGCCTGGAAGATCACTAAAAACACTAAGGGGGGAAAAAATCCTTGCTTCCAAATGTTCCTCTATCCCCATTCCTCCAATTTTTACACGGGAAAACTTAACAGTCCATTAAAGTCTAGCTCGAATGCCATGTTAACCGTGAGGGCAAACCTCCTGCCCAGGCCTCATGATTTCAGGAGGAAACTTCACCCCATTCCTGAGAAGAGAAGAGAATTGAGAAAACAGTTCTGCTCCTTTACAATTCCTATGCCTGTATTTTTCCTCCAGGGAAAGGAAGCCTTTCTGGGACTGGAGAGATTGGGAAGAGGAAGTAGTGTAGACGGATCAGCCCTGGGTGTCTTCTGGCTCCTGCGGTTGGAAAGGCGAATGCTCTCTTCTGTGTCTATGCCACACTTTGGATGGGGCCCGGCCTGCCTCATGCACTAGTTTCCAACCTTTGAGACAAATTGGAATCACTTAAGGAGTTTAAAAAGAAACATTGATACCTGGAAATTCTTTTCCATTGGCCTTGCACATCATCAATTTTTAAAGCTCCCTGGATGATTTTAATGTGCAACTGAGGCTGAGAACCAGCTCTAGACAGAAGTCTGGAGCTATTACTCTTGAGCCCCTACTCTAAGAGCTCTGTGGATTGGAAATAGTTCTCCTTAGACCTGACGGGAGATGTGTTAGCTATGCAGAATTTCTCTCAGGTGGGATAGTCCAAGGTCTAGACTTGGGAGGAAAGCTTGACAAATGAGAAGCTCAGTTGTGACTTCAGGACAAGGAGCATTTTTAAGTTCAGCTTCATCTGTTATAAAGTTCATATTTTGATCCCTATCTTTCTGACTCCTGTATTTATTTCTTTTTTATTTCTGAACTTGGAGGGAGAGGGATATGATTTATTATCGTTGTGTTGTCAAATGCCAACCTCATCCATGAAGTAAGTCTTCCCTGATCTTCTCCACCTTCTCCTTGGATAGCAGGTATCTTTCTTGTTTTGCATTTCCACTTTTATTTATTCTGATTTTTGTCTCTTGAAAACTATCATTTATACATATGCATCTACACACACACACACACACACACACACACATTCTAAAACTTTGTCTTTTAATTGGAGTATTTAATCCATTTACATTAAATGTAGTTACTGATACATTTGGTTTTAAATCTGTTCTCTTAGTATTTTGTTTTCTATGTGTCCTGCCATATACATATTGCTTATTTTGTGTTAATCAAGTATTATTGTATTATTATTTCATATTTCCATATTTTTGCTGGGTAGAGAATTCTAAGTTTGTAATTTTTTTCTTTCAGCATTTTAACGACGTTACTCTATTCCTTTCTGATCTTCATTACTGAAAACTGTTGAAAAATGTCAATCTGATTGTTGTTCCTTTGAAGACAGTATGTTTCTTTTCTCTCATTTGGCTGCTTTTATGATTTTTTTTTGGTCTTTGGTTTTTAGTCATTTCACTGTGTCTTGATATTGCTTTTATTTGCATTTATTTTGTTTGGAGTTTGTAGAGATTCCTGAAAGTGTGGTGAAATTCTCCGCTGCTAGCTCTTCAAATGTTACCTGTGCCTGAACGTTTTCACATGTCCCATGTATCCCTTAGCTCTTTGCTGCATTTCTATCCTTTTTTATTTCCATTCTTGCTTCAGTCAGAGTATATTCTACTATCTATATTGTAGTTTATTAATCCTTTCTTGAATTGAAAAATTCACTGAAATGGTTTCAGACTGCACACTGAAACTATTTTTTTTAAAGCTTTATAATGTGTTGAGATCTGGTATAGTATCAATATTGCCAATTATATAAAAAGACTATTAAAGTACTCCTCCCTTTTCCAATTACATATCTGTGTACTAAGACTGGATTTTTTTTCATTTACTTCAAGTGAAACAGAATATTCCAAAACTTGAATACTTAAACAAATATAGAATCCAGCTTTCTTTGCTTAAGGCAGACAAAAATTTTTTAAAAATGTAGAACAATGCTTCTCTTCTCATTATTTTCTTTGTTTGGGCAAATAGATTTTTCATTAAACTACTTATTTTAATATATAATGATATTTTAAATAAATACATGTTCAAAAAATTCTCAGTTTTAATTTATGATATGGTAAATATTCATGTATATAACCCACATAAGCTAAAGTTCTTTGGAATTTTCACAAAGTTTTAAGAATAAGAACCACTGAGCTAGACGATCATAGCTGTATGCTGTATGCAGAAGAGGTCATTTCTTATCTATATCCTTTTTGGTCTTGGGGAAGTCCCAAGATTTCAAAAAATTGTGGCCATTTCTACATGACAAGAGAGGAACGGATTGGTTGACTTTATAATCAGGCCAGGCAGATTAAATATTATTCTTATCTGAATTATTAGATGTCAGATAGATTGTTTACTTTTTAATGTTGTACTAGATTATGGAATTATAACTTTTGACTTTCTCATTATTGACTAAATACAGAAAGACAAATGGTATGAACACATAGTTCATAAGTATTGGAAATTCTTATGATGTAGTTGAGAAAGAAGAGAGTGAAATGTTTTCAGTCAGTCTTACTGTCCAACAAGAAGGTTCATTTTGAGAGTTGCCTTGACCCTACAATGTACATCAGTATAGATGGTGGTATTTATTTATTTTATTTATTTTTCCTTTTTATTGATTTTAGGGAGAGGGAGAGAGAGATATAGAAACATTGATGAAAGAGAACTTCGATTGGTCGCCTTCTGCATGCCTCCCACTGGGGATCGGGCCCACAACCTGGGCATGTGCCCTGACTGGGAATTGAACAGGCAGCCTTTTGGTGCATGGGTCGATGCTCAACCACTGAGCCACACGGACCGAACAAGATGGTGGTATTTAGTTAAGAAGAAAACAAAGCCTTTGGTAGTTTCAGAAATAATCAAGATAGGATTAAGTTTCTCAAAGCATTTCAGTTTTAGAATGCCTTATAGAGCCTTTAGAAATTCCATTCCCCACTATTAATGAATAGTATAATGCCTGCCCCCCCCACCTCGAGATAATGTTTATATATAAATAACCCACCATGATTATAGAATGGTAAAAGATAAGGTAGCTTTCTTCATAACTGTCTTATCAGACTATTCTCGTTCATACTGGTTTTACTCTTTCATGAGTCTGTCCTCTTTAGAGTTAACGTTGTTCAATTTTGTTTTGATTATTCTCTGATTGATTTTACATGTGAAAATCTTACTCCTGTAACAAAGTCTAGTTTTTGGAGGTAAGGACTCTGCATCTTTCACGTCATTGACAACGTCCTCTTGGTAGGTAGACTCTCGATGCTTGCAGTTCAGTGCAAGTTGAGATGCAGGAAATTCATTTCCATCTCCAGTGTTTGTTGAGACTAGGCCACATACAAGATGTGGTATTAGTCACCAGTGGATATGCATCTGCTCATTTCGCTGTTACACTGAAGAAACAAATGGCAAGAAGAGTGCGGAAGATTCTGAGCCTTCTTGTTTTAAAGGAATTGTTCCCGTGGCAGTAGAATTTTTATGAAAGAAAATATTCTTTGCAAAATACTAGAGAGGTTTAGCAAAGGAATTGCAGAGTTGTCCTCCTTGGTGCACACTGTTGTCCATCAGATTTTCAATAGCTCTGAAGGCGGGAATGGATACACTTACACTTGAGCTGATGTTTGCACTGGCAGTCAGTGGGTCTGCTAGATACCGGCTGTTACATTAAGAGGCCTGAGCCTTTCTCTGTTTGCCTCTGTTGCTGGCAGGCCCCACCCAGGCTTGTACCTGTCCTAGGTAGTTCTACCAAGTTTGGCTTTGAACTCATAAATAGATATAGTAGAAAGCCAATCTTTCCACCAACCTTATTGAGATAAAAAATAGTACTTCTCTGGGCATAAAATGTTTGAGTGCACTTAACACTGATTAACCGTGCTAATGAGCTATTGCAGTGACATTTCTTGGCCCCGAGTTTGGATTTATAATCTGATAGATTTAAATAATATGTGTATGAAAATGCTTATTTAAACGAAGTTTATAATGTGACATCATGGACTCTGCAGACAGCCTGCCCGGCTCTGCCACTTTCTAGCTGTGGCACCTTGAATGAGGTTGCTTTCAGTGCTTAGAGCTCATTCCCTACAAAACAGAAAATAACTGTCGGATTAGCTGAGTTAATAATGCATATAGTATGTCAGCTCATAAGACTTGGCTATTATTATTGTTTTTATTTCTGCTAGTTAATTAGGTCACATTTTATGGTTCCAATAATTAATCATAGCAAAACTACCTTCTCCACCATCCCCCTGCCTACATGCTCAGTTTCTAGGCTATGTTCTCTGTTGCTGGAGTCTTACGAATTTTATAATTATGTTTTTTTGAGAAGGTGACATCGCAGTGGTGAGAGATGTGTTTCAGATAAGTTTCAGACTTTGAATATCGAGTCATATTCAGTTACCTGCTTATATATGCTCCACTGGCAAACAGCCAAGGCATGTCCACTGTGAATGAATTACTTCCGAGGAGAACCATTGGGACCGTCACTGAGGAGCAGGCAGCGCCGTGAGCCGGCCAGCTGCCAGTTACTGGCCAGCTCCAGCAGCCCTTCGGGTCCTGGGAAAACTCAGACCCAGGAGGGAACCTGCTGTGTTTCTGTTTGTTCTCTCGCCCTCCTTGAAGAGAGTGGCGCAAGAGCATCGGTTGTCTGCAGTGCTTCCCTGTCCTCTCACACGTGCAAAATTAAGGGGACACACCCCTTGCGAGGGGTTGATCAGAAAACCGAGGCCGGCTATTGAATTCTTGTAATTGTGCCAAACAAGCCGGAAACACATTTTTGTTGTTTGCAGGTGTTGAAAGTTAGAGCATGCATTCTGAATATGACAGAGTAGTTCATTTTTTTTCTGCTGCAAGCTGAAGTTCTTTCCGTCTGGCATCATCATTTTTTAGTATATATATTTTGGAAATATCGCCCTGTCATTACAGGATGAAATCAACACTCCATTTTCTTTGTCTTCATCCCTCAGGAAAAGATGGGAAAATGAGACAAAAATAACATCGTCTTGCCTTATTTTCCTCTGGAGGTAGAAAGTGGGTTGAGGGGACAGAGGCATGAGCACGTTACTCCCGAGCAGCATTTCTCCCAGACCTGTGGGAAGGACTCTCACCGCAGCAGTAAGACACAAATAGGTGCACCAAGGGCTTCATCTTTCTGGAAAGCGGAATCCCTTGAGTCAAGTTCCCAAACAAGGACAGGCATTGTGAGCGGGACCTACTCTTCTTGAGCATATTTGCTTTATTCTTTCAACTGTTCCAGGCTTTTAGATGATTTAGGTCAACTGTGAACCCCGTGAAGGGATCAAGTGGAATATTTTGTATCCAACAGGTTTGCCGCTGCTGCCGGGAGAAGCGGAGCAGGACGGGAGCGCCTGTGTCCCTGCTCCCACCCCTGCCGGGGCCCAGCCTCTGAGCCCTGGAGTGCAGCCCAGGTCCCCAGTGGAAGGAGCAGACCGGCAGAGGGACCAGCCCAGGTCCCCAGTGAAAGGAGCAGACCAGCAGAGGGACGAGGTACTCCGCCGGAATTTGATCAGTCTCGAAACTGCCTTGACTTTGTAACGTCCTTTCAGGGGAAGCTGCTACCCAGTGTGCCCTGGTATTCTTCTCAGATTTGGGACAAATTTAGAGTTCAAGTTGCTTCACTGGGTCCCCCTCACTGCCGTCGATTTTTATGCGTGTATTTCTTTTCAAGCACAGAGAGCACTTATGTTTATATGTGGAGTTATTATGTGTATGTGTTTCATGATGTAACAGGCCAGTGCTACCTGGGGACAAGGGAACAGCAAGGACAGACGGTCTTCTCATCTCTTTTAGTCTGAACCGGCCTTTTTTCTTTGTATTATTGTTCCTAAGGTCCTGCAAACATCTTGTATTTGCTAAGATAAGGCTGCTACAGTAGCGGATCCCAACAGTAATTGGCTGAAGAGGATATAAGTTTGTTTCTTTCGCGTAACAATCTGTGGAGGGTCTTCAAAGTTAGCAAGTGGCTCTGTTCTCTGGGATCATTATGCTCCTTCTCTCTGGAACTGGACTATGCTTCAGGACATTGTCCTCGGGTTCACATTGCAAGTCAGGTCCCCATCCTCCCTGAATGGGCAGGGGATGAGGTCATGGGGCAGCCTGCTTCCCCAAGGCTCAGAACTCTATATATTTTTTAAATCTTCACCCATGGATATTTTCCCATTTATCTTCAGATAGAGTGGGAGGGAGGGGGATAGAGGGAGTGAGGAGAGAGAGAAACATCGACATAAGAGAGACACATTGACTGGCTGCCTCCCACAGGACCCCAACCAGGGCCAGGGACAAGCGAAAACCAAGGTGTGTGCCCTTGACCGGAATTGAACCCGAAACTCTTTGGTCCACGGGCCGATACTGTAACCGCTGAGCCAAACCGGCTGGGGCTCAGGACTCTATTTTTGTTCACATTCCAGAGGCAGCCATTCAGTTCCATGTTCTGTCCAGCCACAAGGGAGGCTGGACAATGTCATCTAACCATTTGCTTCACCTGCAGGTAGGACGGGATCTCTGCCACATGTTTTCTCTCCCAAATGCACACCTTGAAAGTCATCTTTCGCCATCATTTGCAGCCTGTCTGCATGTACTTGACCAACACGCAGCCGCCGAGGCTGCGGTGGTGCTGGATGTGACCATTATCCCCCCGTTCTCTCTCACACGAGGACCAGGCACAGAGGGTGTTGGAGCTCTTTGTTATTGCCTCCTTTTAAAACCCCGAGGATGCTTCTGGATTATTAGTTATTCAGGTACTAGTCTTGTCACTTGAAGATATTTTGTGATGGAATTATCCACACATTTCAGTTTTAAATGACCCCTTTATCGTAACACTCTGTTCACTGGCATCGCAAACGTATGTCTGGGATGCTTGTGGGCCTATGTTAACCCCCTAAATTGGTTACCAGGTCCACTGGTGGGAAAGCCACTTTTCAGTGTGCTTTTTGAATTATGGATGACTTTTGTTGAGCAGTAGGAAACTAAAAGTGTGAAGTTATTTCTATCAGGAAGCAGTCTCTTTCAGAGATGTTATGTCGTTGACTTCCACTGCGACCACACACATCATTCGACCAGCTGTGGTCACAGCACCTAGTGCCATTACAGACATTTTTATAAAATGATTTTAGTTGATGGGTTAAAAAAGCTGAATGATTTCTGGAACCTATCAAACATCCAGTCAAATGCTATTTAAAACCCTGTATATGATTGTATCTTCCAAAAGAATATAAATTTCTTCCCAGAAGAGGTGAACATTTTAAAATGCTGGAATCAAAATGATATAAATGTGTATGTGTGCGTGCGCGTGTGTGTGGGTGTGTGTTGGCTAACTCACGAGACATAGATGAATAACTTTTGCTGTTTTTTGAATATCCAGAGTAATATCTTGGTTTGGGATTTTTTATTTCTATCCGCTATTTATTAAGGAAACTTTTTAGAACTGTCTAGCATCATAATACTTTGCTGTGGTTTAATAGTCTTCATCTTATTTTAAAGCGTCCGATGTCAGTAAAAGAACATAAGCATCAGCTCCCAGCAAACACGGCCTCTGAGGGCCAGCCGTCGGGCTAGAGGTAGCTGCCCTCGGTCTGGGACTTCATTCTCGAAAGATGAAAATGTCCCTGGGTGTCCTGACTTCCTATAATTGCTTAATAAGAATCCACAACTTCCTGGCATGGATGGGACCAATTAAAATAACTTGTTTTGGTAATTTTATCACTGGTTTTATACGTGTGCATTTCCCCCTCAGAGTCAGGCATTTCCCAGGAACCTTCCACTCTCTATTTGTGAATAATTTCTTGCCTTTAGTTCATCTATTTTGATGAAAGGAATTCACAGTAGGAAGATGAAAAATTGTGAGTTCCTCCTCCCTATCCCCAACCATAGAAGAGGTCACAGAAGAAACTTTTGTAGCATTTTAATGGAATATCTCCTGCTTTTCCAATTCATATTGGAACTTTGAAAATTTTCACCTATTAAGACAGTTAATTTACCATATTGCTTTGAAAGAGGGCCTATAGCTAAATGCTGCTACTATTGATTTGAGCGTTAGTTCTGTTGTCTTTGATTCTCCTGTGTGGTAACTATGAATGAAAATGATTCCTCTTGTAGCTGAGTCTCTCTCAGAATATGTCATATGAGCAATTTTAAGGAAACTAGCGGTGTTCTGCTAGTGTACAAATTCTACTCCCTGAGAGGCTACAAAAAGACTTCAATTAAATTTGAAATTAGACACCTGAAATTCACACATTTCTCTCAGCTCCTTAGGCAAAAATAACGAGCTAATAACTTAATTCACAGTTGTTTTCTGTTTAATAGTGGGGGATTTGGCTTTCCACTGCACAGATTCTTCTCTTTGAAATAAATCGGAATCTGAGTTCGCAATCGGAAAACCTTGAGTCTTTTTAGCTCAGGACACTAAAATGAACCTAACTTGAAGGAAGGGAATTCCCCAAGTGTGCCACAGTAGCCAATAGCTGAGATACATCAATAGAATTACTACTTTGTTATCTTTTGAAAGCTGTCATTTCGAAGTTCACAGCGATGTCTTCTGAGTTGCAGTGTGCATCCAGTTATTTCTTTGTTTTTGTTTTGAAAGTTAGGTTCATTGAGATTTCATTTACAGAGTCAAATTTACCATTTTGTGGTGTATAGTAAAAAATACTAAATAAAAACACTGGAGTACCTTTTATTAAATTTAGAATTTTTAAATGGCATCATTAACATATATAGTAAAATAATAGTGACCTTTTAAGTCCTGGGTTGGTTTATACATTTCTAAGTATTATGTTGATTTATAAATCTATGCATACTAGGGTATTCATAATTACATACTCATAATTACGTTGTTCTAATAACATTTATTTCTATTCAGTCTGTGAGAGCCATTGATAGATATGTAATGTTAATAAAAAAAAATCAGAATAATAGATTAGTACAAAATTGTAATGGCAGAGGCATGGGAAAAACCCAAAGTGCATAAAAATGTATGCTAAAATTGTTAAGTCTTTCAAATTATCCATCTGCACTTCCTTTCCCAGCCACATTTGTATCTGTGTACACGTTCTGAAAGACTGTTATGTAGAAAGTTTACTTTTAAAATTACATTGTAAAGTATACTAGATCCTAAAATAAGTTAGACTCCTCAACTTTAGTAAGAAGTCCATTTGATCTACAATTGGGCTTACTTTTTTGCATGAATAATAACGTGTTCTTATTTTTCCTACTTATAATTTCTTAAATGGTTTATATTCTTTCTTGCCTTTAGTTCTTAGACACTCATTTTCTAGTTCTGTTTTTTATTTTTTTATTCCTCATCCGAGGACATTTTTCTATTTATCATCAAATAGATTGGGAGGGAGAGACAGAGAGAAACATTGACGTGTTAGAGCCACATCGACTGGTTGCCTCCTGCACAACTGGACCAGAGCCGGGGATCAACTGCAACCCAGGTACATGTTCTTAGCCAGAATCGAACCCACGGCTCATTGGTCCAAGGGCTGACGCTCTAACCGCTGAGCCAAACAGGCCAGGACGACACTCATTTTCTTTGGCTTGGCATGTTCACTCTGTTCTCGCAGGCTTGCTCTCGCGTATCCTCTGACTTCTACCAGTCCTTTCGGAGTTGGGGTCAGTTTCTTTCTGGGAGTTCTCCTTGACCTCCAGGCTGCGGTTACTTCCCCTCCTCTGTGATCCCACCGCACCTTGTGTGAGCTCCTGTAACAACCCTGTGCCGCATTAGCTTCTGTTCATGGTGCTCCACCCCGTGTCGCTGGAAACTCCTGTAGGCTGGGACTGCAGCCTCATCTGAGTACCGCTGCCTGTGCTAGCACAGGGTCTGATGCTACCAGCAGCAGGACACCTGCGCACGTCCTTCAGCCAGGTCTGAAAGGGCAGCGAGGGTCCCGCTAGTCCGAATGCACTGCTAAAGATGGGGCTCCCCTCGTCCCGCAGGATCCATGAGCTCGGCTCAGGACGGGGTCGGGGCGGCAAGCCTCGGTGCTTCGCCGAGCAGACTTGAGACGGCAGGGGTGAGTCTAATTCAGGAGGTGAACGTATGCTGTCCTTGTGTGTGTGTGTTTCTACACCTGAGCTGCTCTCAACACTATTACTCGTTGTCACTTCGGCTGTGGCGATGGTGAGTTTACTCTCAGCGAGTGACCATGATGGATCCGTCACCGTGCAGGTGGATCTACTCCTGAGCCCGCTGCTCCTTCATATGTACACAGTCGTGGTATTATGTGGAGCCTCGAGTGCTTTTTAAAGTATATGCTGTGGGATTCGTTTGGGTTATTTAGGGAAGGCCTTTTTTTCCTGGCCAGTGTGGCTCAGCGGTTGAGCACTGACCATGCACCAAGAGGTCGCCCGTTCGATTCCCGGTCAGGGCACATGCCCAGGCTGTGGGCTCATTCCCCAGTGGGGGGCATGCAGGATGCGGCCAATTGATGTTCTCTCTCATCGATGTTTCCATCTCTCTCTCCCTCTCCCTTCCTCTCTCTCTCAAATCAATAAAGGAAAATATTTTAAAAAAGAAAAAGGTCTTTTCTCCCAGACAGTGATGACTTGGCTTAATGAAAACTTCCAGGATATTTTTGCTGGTGTTTTTTGAGAAGGTGAAACTGTCCGTGCAGCAGGTCACTGTGGATTCAGCTCTGCTTCTCTTCCTTCCTGATGGTGTTGTGTGGGGCAAGTGCTCCGACCTGCAGCGCGTCACGAGATGGGCTGTGTGAATTACTGCGCGTGCCCACACAGCGCCCAGTGCTGGCTGGCGCTTGGTGGGACTCACCTGGTGACGGTTCCCGTCATCGCCCCCATCATCGCCCTGGCCCGGAAGGCACGCACTTTCCGGTAAAGAGGAAGCAGACACGTCTCTGCGATGTGTGCTCTTGCTGGTTTTACTAAGAAAGGATGATAGATGTCTGGGTGTTTGCTACGAACCCTGTACCCCTAGCTATGAAATTCAACTTGCCGAACAGACAGGAGGTGTCTCCTTTTCATGGTTGTAGGTTTTTATTTCTTCACCTTTAACAACAGCACAGTTTCTGAGCTGTATGCTCCATTTTCAAGAACATTGCAAAAGCTACTCAATGAGATCATTTTCCAGGCAGGAATATTTAAAGCTGATTATAGCCTCAGAGCATTTATTTTTTTCATTCTGGCATAAACTATAGTTTTCAATTATTTCGGCATCACCGTACATATGATAGAGCTGCACCGAGGTGCCAGCTGATTTCACTGGGTCACACACCATTTGCTGTGTGAGCAGCTTCTCAAGGGGGGAGACCGCGAGATTCAAGGCATTCTCTTTTTGTTGATTGGAAAATATGCTTTTAAAAATACTTCACCTTTAGGAAATATTAAAAACACCGACTATGAATAAACAGATACAAAATTATTATACCTCTTTGCAGTTTCTCTGACTTGTAGATAAGTTCTGTACTATTTTAAAAATTCTTGGTAGGACAGAGGGATCCTGGACTTGTAAATTTAAGATGATGCTATGTGTTCTCATTCCTACTGTTACTGGAACAGGAATTATAGGTATTAGCCGAAGAAGTTAATGTGTTATGTGTAGAGTATTTTTAACTTTGGAAATTGTTTTATTGATATGTCTTTTATAGTAAAATGTATTCAAGGTTGATCAAAATCTTAAGGTGTGTTTTTTTACACTTTAATATAATTGTCAGTGTTTCCATGTGCCTGTAGCTCTAACACTACAGGTGGTAAAAACGTAATGAATGTGTGCAAGGGAGACGTTCTGATTCTTGCTGTGGGTGGAATTAGTTAATGGCATCTGTTTCCAGGCAGGGCGTACAAATGGGGTCTATTAAGGGGCTTAAAGTAGGTCAAATTGAATCATTGAATTTATCCCTTTACTTAAAAAGAGCTTAATCAGCTGAGAGAGCTGAATTCTAAAAAAAGTTTAATTAAATATTAATAGGGAATTTATGTTTTCAACTTGATCTTCATTTACAATGATTGTAAATGATTTGCCTCCTTTGTTACCTCTTGTAGACACCCGGAGATGAAGTTCAGCCCTTCAGACTTGATGAAGAATTTGATTATGACGCTGTGATGCTAACCCCCAAGTTCAGTCCTGCAGAGATGGAAGCCATCAAAGAACTATCCAGGCAACATCGAGAGAACACCAGCACACCTGGAGGAACCCTGTGACCGATTCACCAAGACATCTTCCTGTTTACGTTTCTTTGGTTCTTATTCAAGCCACAATAGAATAAACGATAAACCTCCTATAGTCCCCGTGTGGAAATTTATGTGTGCATTGATTCATCAGAGTTATTTGTCCGTAGGGAGATGCTACTAACAAGACCACAGATCTGTACCCTCACAGGGTTCCCCTCTGTCTCGTTGTCCCTGCAGCCCGTGGCTGGCAGGGAGCTCTGGAGGTAGCAAGCGGGGACAGGAAGCAACATCTACCGAAGGGTTCGTTTTGATGAGAGCACTGTAATTAGGTAACACCGGGTATTGTGACCAAGATTGGAAACATCATCCCACCTTTCTGGAAGGACGGTTGCACACGTAGAACACACTGCAGCACACAGAGAAGTCTTGATAATGTGGGAGGTTACTGGCCCCGGCTATCCAGACATAGTGGTATGACTCCGAACGCTGAGAGGTTGGGCTTCTAGGATTGATTGGGAAAGGCTTCACTGAAAAAGAAGGGATCCGAGAATTGATTCTGTGTCATATATTAAATTCTTGTACTTTGTTATTGCCATTGTGATGATAGCTACAAAGTGCAAGGAATCATCTCTGTCCGCAGAAGCGTAAAATATAATTTGAAAAGGCAAGATGTAGCTAGAGAAAACAGCTAGAGAATGTAAAAACTTATTACAAAGTGCTAATTGTGTACAGTACCCATAAATGCGTTAAGGAAAGGAGACTAGATGGATGCAGTCACAGGTGAAGGGGGAACAGTATGTATGAAGTCATTTTTATTATTGAGTAAATCAGTTACAAATGAAATATACTTAATTAGTTTTCACACAGGCCTGTGCTTGTGTGCGTGCATGTATGTGTGTATGTATGTATTCATAAAAGTGGCCATTTATATTCCTTAAAAAAGAATGCTTTTGGCCCAGCCGGTGTGGCTCAGTGGTTGAGCGTTGACCCATGCACCAAGAGGTCGCCAGTTCGATTCCGGTCAGGGCACATGCCCAGGTTGTGGGCCCAATCCCCAGTGAGGGGCATGCAGGAGGCGGCCAATCGATGTTCTCTCTCATCAGTGCTTCTATCTCTCTCTCCCTCTCCCTTCCTCTCTAAAATCAATAAAGAAAAAATTTTTTTAAATGCTCTTGATTTAACTTTACAGTGGAGTCAAGTGATTTCCACATCTATTTTCCTGTGTTTAATGAACACACATACATAGGACTCCCTTCTGTGCCGGGGCACCGGGGAGGACGTGAGTGGGTGAGGCCTGGTCTGACTGGAGCGAGGCTGGGTACACAGATGACCGCCGTAGAGCTGCGCCGCCCCAGAGCATGGGACTGCCGAGCACTTGAGGTGTAGCAAGTGTGACAGGGACTGATTTTTAAATGTTCATTTTATTTTAACTTAAAATAGAAAGTTGATATTTGATGCAGTTATTATAAAACTTTCAAGTACATTTGGAACAACTTGGGTATGGGCACCTATCCTTTTTCAGCTATAAATTTTATGACATCTAAATAAATACAAATCAGTTATTTTTGACGACAGCTTAGTGCCTACATTTAAAATATGCTACAAAAGTGAAATGCACATTGGATTTCGAAGGACTAATATGAAAAACTGTAGAATGACTTGCTATATTTTTATGTGTCGATATGATAATATTTTGGATATGCCTGCTTAAATAAAATTCGCCAATTTCTTTTTACCTTGTAGACGAGGCTCCTGGAACATTAAGGATTGCACACGTGGCGTGCATATGCGTACGCGCGGCTCTGCAGTACAGGGTCATCTGTATTGAAGCTCTGTGTACTGAGAGCTGGGACAAAGCAACCTGGAGTGATTTAACCACTCCATGGATCGTCTTCACAGAGGAGGTGGCATTGGAGCTTGGTCAGGAAGAAGTCAGGAGTTTTGGGCTGTGGGCTATTAGAATAGCTTGTCTGGGGAGATGAAGGAACCTGGATTAAAGCAGTGTAGGTGGAAGTGGAGAGCATGGATTTGATTAGGGATTTGAATGTAGAACTAGCAAGGTGGGAATGAGAGAGCAATTGCAAGGTGAAGAGGATTTAATTAATTAATTTTTTTTAATCCTCACCTGAGGACATTTTTGCATTCATCTTCAGATAGAGCAGGAGGGAGAGAAGAAGGAAGAGAGAGAGAGAGAAACATCAGTGTGAGAGGGACACATCAACTGGTCGCCACCCACATGATCCCAACCAGGGCCGGGGACAAACTACAACTGAGGTACGTGCCCTTAGTGGGAACCGAACCCGGGACTCTGGTCCGCAGGCTGACACTCTAACCGCTGAGCCAAACTGGCCAGGGCGAGGTGAAGAAGATTTTAGCATGCAATCTGTATAACTCACCGGCTTGAGGAGGCAATCACGTATGATAGAATTGTTCACAGGACCAGAGACTGTCTTTTGACTCAATACGTAGACAGCATTTTGGCGTCTTAAAGAAAGAAAAGACTTCACCATTTTAAAGACATCTCAATTTTATGGATGTAAACAGTTTTCTAATACAAGAAACAAAGCCACCTTTCTGAGTGTTTAAAAAGAATGACATTTTAGCGCTGTATTTCATTAACTAGGCAGGTAAACGCTGTCGCAGAGCGTTCTGTCGAGTTGGTGTACCCTGTTTGCGCTTCATTCCTTTCGGTAATTTTTGATTCCTGCGTTATTTGGGGCAATTGTGCTTTACAGCAAAAGTGAAACTGGAAAATGGTCCCTTAAAACCTTTCAATGAAATAGTTTTGTCTTGGTTGCACTGTTATTCATGGCCTAACTAGCAGCGACTCCTCCATGACTTTCAGCTTTCTGGATGCCCCGGATCGATGTCAGTGGCCTGTTTGACGTTGGCCAGCAGACCCTAACCCAGTGCCTCTGGGAGAAGCTGCGCTTACATTGACGGAACACGCTGACGACGATCAGGGAGTGCCGTCCAAGGTAAGACAAATACTGCCACGTCGAAGGTAAGGAGGCGCACCTGTATGCGCTCACCAAATCGGGAGGGGAGAACACGGAACATTTCAAGTGTCTTGAAATAATATGGCGTTTGCAGCACACACTGGCTTGAATGTCAACCCTGCCACACTGAGTGCGGTGGCACCTGAGCAATCTCAGAGAAAAACCTTGACCTGATCTCGAATTTCCTTGATTCCTTCCTCAAGAATTCATTTCCCCCCATGAATGAGATAGAACTATATCCTCATTTAAGAAGAGGGGGAGGCGGGGAGGGAAGAGATAAACCCCAGAACTTACATGCATGTACGCGTAACCGATGGACACGGACAACAAAGCTGAGGACAGGGTGGAGGGGATGGGAGGAGTGTGTCCAGGGGGGAAAAAGGAGAAACATCTGTAACAAAGTAAATTAATTAAAAAAATAAAATAAAATAAAAAGAGGGGGGGGGGAGAGAGAGAGAGATGATTTTTTTTTTTATCTGTAGGTGACTGTATGGTTGAATTCAAATATGAAAAAGACAAAGACATTTCCATCTTATTGGCCTATTTCTTGGAAGTTGATGGCAAACGAATACGACAGCACAGGAAATGATATGAAAGAGGCAATCTTATTGGGAATTTTTTAGAAAAAGATTTCTCAACATGAGGAAGAGCAATCTACCCCTGGCCGTGGCCACCACCTGCCTCTCCGATCTCATCACACCTTCTTCCGCATTTTAGATCATGTCCTGAGCAGTTGGCATTTGTTTTTGTTTCTCACACTCCACCTTGTTTCTGCCTTCCTGCCACTCGTGTGTGTGCCCGGTCCTCTTCGAAGGCTCGATCCTTCACATCACTCAGGTCTCCGGTGAAAAATATCTGCCCCAAGGGTCTCTCCAAGCACCTGTAGAATCCCCGTCCCCAAACCGTCACCCGGTCACTGCCTCCCACGACCTTACGTGGTCCCGTTTGTTATCCGACCCCTCATCAGAACGGGAGTGCAGGAGTGTGTCTGAGCCTGCCTCTCCATCACTGCCTCTCTAACACCCTGTAAAGCACCTGGACCCAAGGAGGTGTCAGTAAATGTTCACCGAGTGAATCAAACCTCAAGGCATACGTGTATTAGTTTGAAGGACCCGGGATTCCATTTCAGCAATCCAGTTTGGTTGGATACATGTTGTGTATTTTTTTTTTTTTTTATCCTCACCCGAGGACATTTTTCCATTTTTTGTTCAGGTAGAGTGGGAGAGAGAGAGAGGAACAGAGAGAGAGAGAAACATTGATGTGAAAGGAACACATCGAGTGGCTGCCACCCGCACAACCGACCAGGGCCGGGGACAAACTGCAACCGAGGTACGTGCCCTTTGCGGGAACCGAACCCGGGTCTCTCAGGACCGCAGGCCGATGCTCTAACCGGTGAGCCAAACCGGCCAGGGCCATGTTGTGCATTTTTGATATCATTCGGGGCATGTGTACGTTCTTACTCACTGTCCTCATGACCATCTGAGGGCCAGGGCAAATTTGGGAGGCCTAGCCCGACTGCACAGAGCCGCTCCATGCGGCATGCTCCTTGCCCTCGTCGCCCCAAGGGGAATCGAGAGCTCCTGGAGTCACGTGGGAGCTTGACCCACTTCTCCACGGCTGTTTTGAAACCTCGTCGGGACATCTTACATGAGAAGTCCTATTCCAGGAGCACGTGACAGGGTACTGATCTTGCTAACGTTGTGCATTAGAAGGTATGGTCAGATGGTTAGTGAAAAACTGCGAAGGGAAAAAAAACAAAAACAAGACCTGAAGAGTGAGGCAGGGAGAAGAATCCCATCTGGGTCGCTCTCTGTAAAGCAGGATCCGTTATCCATTCACTCAAATATGTTAATGCTCGAAAGAGTCATCAAACTTTAGAGGCGGTTTTAAAGCCCAATTCCCCTGTGTCTTTTATATTTTTATCCATTCTGAGAGCGTTGTGAGCCACAGGAGGGTTTTAAACGGAGGAGAGACGGGATCTGACTTCAGGTGAGGCGAGATGGGTGGGGAGGGGGCAGGCTGTATTGTATCAGGGGGGGTCACCCTGGGTGGAGGGGTGTGCGGGGCTGGAACGTGAAGGACCTTTTCACTGTTTCCACTCCG